TGGCTGAAGAGTCCTCACCATCTACGAGTCCAACAAGTCCACCTACTGAAATCTCCAGCGATTATTCACTTCGACAGCAACTCCTCAAGACACTTGCACTAAATATTCTAAAAGACTACCCAGGAACCCTCGTTAGCGACGTCGGCATTCCCGAACTCGGAAAATGTCTGAAATGTGATAGAGAAATTCTGACCAATCCAAAATCAATAACCACGCTCGTGTGTGGGCAACGTTTCATAGAATGTGTATAGAGAAAAACTTTATGCATACATCCACAAGTGCATGTCTTATTTGTAAACATCCCGTAGAAGCACTCATAACAAGAAAGAAGGTAGTTAGGCTGTCACAATCGAGTGGAACATCGTCATTAGCCAGCGCTTTTGGTAAGAGTCTTGAACTCGGGTGCGACCAGTTGGATAGCATTCAAGAAGATCAAGATATGCCGAATGCCGAAACCAGAAACGAACCCCCCACCATCGTTGAACCGTCAACCTCAACACCTAAACGCGCTAGGGAAGAACCTACCTCCGTCGAAAAATCCTCTAGCAAAAAAGCTAAGAAGTCTAGCGAAAAGAAGGATGAAGTTTCTCCTATGTTAAAAAAACTTATCCGAGAACTGAAAACCAAATCATCTGAAGTATCTCCAACTATAGAAAGTGATAATACTCAAAAGGGGAATACTACAAATTTTCCGTATTTATATTCCAAACTCATTAATGCAGAAGCTCGAAATGAAAGCACAAATCGTGAAGTTATTCAAAGCTATTATATATTCGGACAAGCATATGAGGAGCGCTTCGAGCATTACAGAAAATCGAATCGAGAACACAAAGCTCAGCGTCTACTTAATGAAGAGATTAGAAAGCAGTTTACTGGTAATATTACTGATACTAATTTTTGGAAGAAGATAGAAAAAGCTCGAAAGATATATGATCTCTTCTCTAGCATTGGTGAAGAAAAAATACAACGCATTAAATCTTTTAGTGTATCATCTATTTCGAAATTAACTTGGGATAATATTGACTATGTAATAAATAGTTTGAAGTAAATACTGCGCCATAGTCACATGACCTGAACTTCG